AAACGCGCTCGGATTCGAAGTGTTTAAGCACGTTTATAAACGATGTTTAATTGAAGTAGATTCCGAAATCGATCAGATTGATTAATTCTCCGAGAAAGACGCGTAGTATTTAAATTTTGTCATATCTACTCGTGCGTTTAATTAAATATATTTCGAATTATTTTTGAGTCTCCCATATGTAATGTGCTCTGTTTTTGATAGGTGGTGATAAGCTCTTGCAAATAGATCAGAAAGATCGGAAAGCCGGGATGCCTTTTTTTAACGCAGCTTTAAAGCAGTTTGTTTTATTTACATAGAATATATAAATTGCATCTAAGAACTAGTTACATAATTATCTTGTAACATTTGCAACTCCCACAGAATTTACGTGGGCGATTTTGCATAATGGAGGCGTTTTATACAAAGTATGAACCCAAACTGTTCTCTAACAGTTCGGAAATTCAGCGAAAGTTTACTATGCCAGCCTCGACCGTGTAACTACATACTATTGCAGCGCGCGGAACAATGGATAGTTAGACATTCTCCCCGTTGTGTCAAACATTTGATCTTTAATTCTCTTTGTATCGATCGGCGTCGAACTCGCGCGAATTATTTATGCACGGAAAAGTATCTTCGTCGAATACCTACGTCGTTGTTACGATTCGTGAGAGACACATCGCTTACGTTTCACTATGTTACTTCGTTTTACAAGCCCTCGCGTGGCGAAGCGTGTCCGACATTGTGCGATAAATAGAAGAAAAAAAGAGGTGTGCTTCTTTTTTATTTTACGATACTATACTTTATGTGTGTATGTATCTGTGTAGGCGTGTACCGTTCGCTCTCTTCGCATACGTTAAAAGACGGCTTTAAAACTCTCCGCGCTTCGCTGTACTAAAGCTTAGCTGTAGCTGATGTTTTCCTACGTTGGGATGAACACCGACGGTGTGTCCATCCTCCACGACCCTTACTATCCTCGTACACTTTGAGGCGTGGGTGCGCTGCGAAAGTAATCTGAGAGCTCGGTACACAAGACTCTCGCTAGATCCGTCTCATTCATAATTTACAGGGTACTGGAACACACTAGCGAGCGAGAACCGCCATTCTCGCGTTTCTATGTACTCTTTGTCGAGTACCTAGGGCTGTCTCCTGCATTAACTCAATCGCTCTTGCGTCTTACATATATATATGTTTCGCATTTATTCTTTATACTTTATGTGAGCTACGAGGAAATTTTTATTAGTGTCATTATGATAACTTTGTTTTACTCGGAGAGGTTGTCAAAGTCTAATACAAAGTATGATTATTAATTTACTGGTTACTTTCTTTATCAATAATTCGTATTTTTTTCTTGTTGCTATCTTTTTAATATCTTCGCATTGCAATTGCGAGTTTATATGTTTCATGTTTTATTTGTACTTTTAATTTAATAAGTTTTGTTTTTCTCTCTATCGTATGGTAAATATTGTTATCGTTATTATTTTGTTTTTTAGATATTTATTATTGCAGAAATCCTGCAAATAGTATCGGTTTATATTTTCTTCGCTGTTCATCTGAATTTATTATTATAGAGCATATTTTATTACTTCTTATATAATAACTTCTTTTGACACAGATTGTGCAGATTTTTTATTTCCTTTTTCAAAACTTTAAATTAATTTATACTTTCAAATTAAATTAACTTAAAATTAGCAACAATTTAGCGGCGAGTAATAAATTTCGTAAATAAATTTCTGCGAAACATGTTAATACAGTTCTAGATTTATGTTTGCATGACCCAGTAACATTCTTGCACGCTACCTTGGAAAGAACGTTCGTTATATCGTTCCGTATATAATACGCGAGATGATAGTAATAAGAGAGATGGATATTTATTATTAACTTAAGAGTATAAAAAATGGATAATAAATTTAATAATCCAATTTTTATCAGAAATCCTGCAAATAGTATCGGTTTATATTTTCTTCGCTGTTCATCTGAATTTATTATTATAGAGCATATTTTATTACTTCTTATATAATAACTTCTTTTGACACAGATTGTGCAGATTTTTTATTTCCTTTTTCAAAACTTTAAATTAATTTATACTTTCAAATTAAATTAACTTAAAATTAGCAACAATTTAGCGGCGAGTAATAAATTTCGTAAATAAATTTCTGCGAAACATGTTAATACAGTTCTAGATTTATGTTTGCATGACCCAGTAACATTCTTGCACGCTACCTTGGAAAGAACGTTCGTTATATCGTTCCGTATATAATACGCGAGATGATAGTAATAAGAGAGATGGATATTTATTATTAACTTAAGAGTATAAAAAATGGATAATAAATTTAATAATCCAATTTTTATTTTTTTTTAAATTGTATTTTTCATTATTTTTATATAATACCTATAACGTGTTACGCGTTCTTCGAGTCGGAATAGTTTCTTCAGAATTTTATTTTCGTCTTTAAATACATGAGAATATAGTTCTATTAGTTGTTACGTTTCACGATGACATCATACGATTACGTTCCATAAGGTACATCATGTAATTAGGGATATGTTTTTGTTGATACCGGATCTCGTCAGGCGCCTGTTCAAACCGCAGAAAATCGAGACGTAGATTACCGTGACCAAACCAACCGAGTCTGTATATCATTAGCGACAGCACAGGCATCGAAATTCGCTTTGACGGAAATTGGGTAACCCGACCACTATCGTGCCATTAAATGCCATAGCGTAGTGTGTAGCTTTGCGTGCCATGCCAAATGTCGCGGAGAATACACTACTCGATAAACGACGGCAGCACGTGGAAGCAATAGGAGATAATAATGTTTCTCTGATAGCGTTATCACAATGAAAGAGACTCTTACTCTGCAGTTTCATCGATCTTTGAAACTTTCTCTTTGTATACAACATATTTCTTCCTGTTATTTTGCCGATATTTTTTGTATCTTTTGTATATTACGTAAACTGAGATGATTACACAAGTTAAGAGTTCATTTGTTACGAATAATAATAATAATAATAATTTATTACATATTGTATATTTGTCAGATATAAAAATATTAAGAAAACAATTTAAAAATTTTTAAAAATCGGTTGTTACCTGAATATACGGTTTCTTTAAGATATTTGAGAAATTTTATTTTTATCACGTGTTACTTTGCAAGTCTGGAAAATAGAACACTTTGCTATTTCCGTGTAAGATACACATAGAGTATTCCTCGAAGAATGTATGAATTTCAACTTTATGAGGCAACCGAGGGATAGAATTTCCACTTGCATTCCTAAAATTAAATTGGGCAAGATCCTGTTATTTTCTATATCCGTTACCTTCCATTCGAGCAGCTATGACGCTTCTTATTTCGGCTTCCGGCATCTACGATACAGAGAAGGAAATGTTCCGGTACGCTTTAAATAGCACAGTCTCGAGCCGATTTAATTACTTACGAGACTTACAAGACGGTGCACTCTCCGCGCGAACTATAGTTTCTTCGTGTCGTACACAAGACCCTCGCGGAGAAATTTAATTAGTCAGATATATATCGGGCGATTCGCCGCTTGTCAAAACTCCCTTATCGGACTGTCTCCGTGATTCAGCCTTTCGCCCGTCGTATTGTCGTTCGGATTTCTCGACAGATTGCGGACGCTCGTACGACATTGCTCGGCTTGTTCCACTTCAGCCAAGCGGCATCGATATGCCGCTATCTTTTGACGACCGAATCTAACAATGAGAACACAGCGCGATGAGAGTCTCGTATTATGGAAATCTGTGGTGCATTCACTTGAAGTATATGGTCTGTCCATCTATTCGTATCTTCATTTTCTTTTTTCTTGCCTCTCGAGTAACATAAATGTTTTTTTTTTTTTTTTGTTTTTGTTTTATATATATACATATAGATGATTCTACTGAATCCGCAGTTACGGATTCTTATCTACCATTCGCGTTTATTGTAATCTCATCTCTCCTTAAACGACGTGCATACATTTACTTTTGAAAATTCTGACGATTTTTTTTTTTTAATATGAGATGCAAATCATGTTCGAAGAGGAAACTAACAAAAAATCGCACGATGTGAATTGAGTTGCCGACAAATTCTATTTGTTTACGTCGCAAAAATGTTTCGCTGGCGATTTCACTAAAAATTTAATCACCAGGATTGGAAAAAGAAAAGCAGGTTTTGTGATACAAAGCAGGTATTATATCATACTAGGGTGACGTTACGTTATATATTATATCATGCGACGTCTTATTCTGAACGTAACAACAAAATCTCGCGCGCGATACAATATGTAAATATTGCAATGTTATACAAATATTATACAAGTACGATAATCCGCGCGTTATACGCATAGATACATGTAGGATAATGGGATAAAGTTTCAAGTATCGGCTGTAATTTCTCGTTGATAGTACGACCCGCGACCGGAGATTTTTTTTTTAAATATCTTTCTTTAATAGCTATATAAAACGAGATTGGAAATTTAATAGATGTCGTTAAAGAATCCTAAAACGAGCATCAAGTAATTACACGCGGTTTGCAACGCCGTAGTAATCGGAGGAGAAGGAAGGGATCACGAGTGTCAAAGTTCTGTAATGATTCTCTCCTGGCGCAGATAAAAATTGCAACGATCTGATAACGCGCGATTGATGACCCCCGTAAAGCAACCTAATTATAATCGTCTCGCGTGCGAGCGCCACGTGTATTTGCATAGCGTGTATTCATATCGCATTATTAGATAATAAGTTGATTATCGATCGCCTTTTGATTATTTAGCGACCCAATTCGAAATGCGTAAAGCGAACGCGCGCAACGGCCGGAAATGTCAATGGCAGACAATACAGTTGATTGCCGCGTATGCCATTTTGCGTCTATCACGAATGCTAAATCTATTCACTCAATCAGCGCAATCTATTTTATTTACCTTGAGATTTATACCATTTTCACGTACGTTGATCGAAGCGTTCATGAAATGCGCTTTCCCCCGCTCCATTATAGACGATATATATCGAGTTAAGACATTTTTGTTTTCAGCGACGGTCGATTGGTAGAAGGTGATCAAATATTGGCGATCGATGGACAGCCTTTAGACTCGAACATCTCTCATGAACAGGCGATCTCGATTCTTCAAAAGGCCCGTGGTCTGGTTGAGTTAGTCGTAGCAAGAAGCACCCAAGGTAATTGCCATAATCTTGCCAATTCGCTTATATTAAAAATTGAAATCTTTTTCGTAGTTTTTATACGATTTGCAAAGACCTTCGATTTGCAAAGAAGATTTTGTGTCGAATAATAACATAATCCTTGTTGCACACAAATTCGAGTGTAAAGGGTCAATATTTACCGCAGAATATTCAAATTACTTATAATATTCTATATAGATTTTTCAAATTTGTTTTTTTTTATCCAGACATATTTTCTCTTTGCAATTATACAATCTTTATAAAAGTAAAGCCAAAAGCAATGCCGTGCATGCAAAAAAAAAAAAAATATTGTTTAAAATTATTATATGATAATTTCTCAACGAACGGTATCCGTGTCAGTATAAATTTTGATTTCCGTTGAATTTCCCACGTCGTGCAGAGTTAAATTAGTTTGGGTAACTTTTTTTTGGTTTGGTCATTGCATATGGAACAGCAAACTCGTGCTAGATTGTCCATGCGTGTACGCGATGCGAATAACGCAGTCTCTTTGCGAAAATGTCGCTTTACCACAATGTTAACTTTTATTATTTTATACAACGGAATTTCATATAAATGTGTTAACAATTTCATAAAGTTAATTCGAAATTCGAACGACATCAACTCTTTCATGGCAAGCGTTAGCCTTGCATATTTCTGCATTTCATATTAATTTATTTTAGAGAATTTATCGAAATTAGTTGTTTCACGAAACAAAGGAGATTGTTAGTTATTGAAAGGTTAATTAATAAGAAGAACTTTGTGATAGCTCAATAGACGTTTGAGAACTTTTTGCAACTGAATAAATTGTCTAGTTTAACATCGATAGAGAAATTATATATCGATGGTATCAATAAAATATCGTAAATGCAATTTTAATTGTAATCATTTTTTATCTTACGAATAGTGCCCGAGAAAAACATTGCAATTCTAATTTATATAATTTTACATTTTTAATATTTTATTTCTGTTGTAAAATTGATACAGAAAGAAAATAATTGTATGAGTAATTTTTTGAGAACTTACAATTTCGTGATTACAATCTTTTTCAGTGGTGCTATACGTTATATGGTACGTCATGCTTGAAGGAGTTAAATAATGAACGGAACTGTGTGTACGTTATTGGCATATATCGGGAGCTCTTTGGATATAAATAAATTATATCGGGATCTATTTTGACACTGATAGAAGTCATGTATTGACGGTATCAATAAACAATATTGCAAATGCATTTCTTAAAATTTTCAGTCATTTTCAATTATTTTTCAATGCTTTATATCTAATCTTTTGTTCCTATTGTGTACAATTGATACACAGAAAATTGTGATACACAAAAGAAAATTCTATCGTACAAGTAATTTTTCTGAAAAGTTACAGTATCGCGTTTGCAATATTTCTTATTTATTGCCGTCGATATGATATATGGCACGTTACGCTCGAAGGAGTTAAATAATGGGTGGAACCGTATACTTACTATTGATAGACGTTGGGAGCTCTTTGCCAACGGATGAATTGTCCGGTGGTTCGAGTTCGACAGCGGCTGCAGGAGCAGCGTCGTCCATCGTTGGCGGTGGCGGCGGTGCCGCTGCTGGGAACAACCAGACAAGTTCCGACAAGGATCAATCGGTGTCAGCGTCGTCCACCATCGTTACACCGGGACCGACCCCGAAGTCAAGCCAACCGACCAGCACCACTTCGGCGGCGACCCCGACGCCCACGCATACACCAACACCCACGCCGACCTCGACACCGATACCTGGAGGCCTCGTTATCGAAAGGAGTCCCTCCGCCGTCAGCGACGCCTCCAAGAGTGGCTCTGACATGGTGGTGAGTTGCCGCTTTGTTTTCTCTTTTTTCTTGATTCAAGATCGTCGTTTTTTCGTTTTTTTTTTAATTTTTTATTATTATTATTTTTTTTTTTTTAGAACTTTTCGCACCTTTTCTTGGTGCGACGCGTTGCTTATAATATTATAATTGGCAATTGTTCTTTTGATCTTTAATATTGTTGCATACTTACGTCCACTTTGTAGTATAATGTTGACGATTCGCGTCAATGCTGCGAGTGGAGCCGTAGGATATCAATTCTTAATAGCAAACTTTAATATCTGTTTGATTGAAGAAAAATCCAGTCGGAGATTTTTCGGATATTATAAAATATAATTTGAATTAAATTAAATATCCTAAAATTTTATTAAAATTCCTTATATTTCTTTCTTATTTATAATCAACACATTATCCTAAAGATACAAAAATGACTATATTATAAATATTGATATTTCTCCTCACGAAATCGTACATTTTATCTCCAATTTAGCAATTCACGTTTTCTTTCTCTCTCTCTCTTTCTCTTTTGTTTTTTCTCCTTCGCTGAAACGAAAGATTCCTGGGATCTTCCTTCTTCGCAGAGACTATTGTGCTGAATACTTTTCCGTGTAAAAGGATGTTCTTCATTGCCTCTTAATAAGCACGCTCCTCTTTCAACAGCCTTCTTATTTTATCCTCAAGCCAGTGCTATCACGAGATCGTCTTATACGGCAAATTCTGCAAAGTCTCCCTCGGACTCGAGGGTATTACCGGTCGAAAGAAATATTTATGCTGGAGTCGTTCGAGTGGCGACACGCCGATAAAATCCCGATCAATAGCCCTGGCATAATTGGCTTCATTTAGGCACTCTTCCACGTGACATACCTCCCTTTTTATTCCCCTTCTAGCTTTTGTTACGATAATAGGAATAGCGGCGCGGTTACGACGGAAATAGAATTATTGGTACAGCTTTGCCGGCATCTTGAGGCAATACATTTCTCGCCAATAATATTTATCTTATATCTATTGTTGGACATCTCTCGTGTGTGGAGAAATATTGAGTAGCATTTTTCTATGAAATATTATTATATCTTTTAAATTGTATTTTTAAGAGAATATTTAGGACTTTTTTATTCTTAGTTTCTTGTCTACTTGACCATTGTCTATTTTTAAAAATTTAATCAAGCAATTAATGAATATGCAATAAAATGCTTTTAATTCTTCCTTTTTTTAATAACTCATTTAATAATTTTATATTTACAAAAACATTATTAACATTATTAACTCATTTCAGCTAGATAAACAATATTTTCAACGATATGTTTAACACGTTACATTAATATATTATTATATTTATGTAAAATAATAATTAATATGTTATATAAACGTGTTTATATTGGATGTATCTTGAAGAGCAATTCTAAACAATTAATTGCCGTAGTTTATTCCGAAGCTATTGATTATCGGGAGAGTTTTCGATCAGCCATTGAACGAACGAAACGTAGCGATTCCTCCCAATTTCTCGACATTCGATATATCTAGATCAAGTGGTTTTTTTTTCAATCGTAGATAAATTGGGCGGCCCATTCGCTTTTCCCTCCTTGTCCGCCCTCTTCCTCTCCTCGTGTCTTCGGGCGCGATAACAGCAACGGCGGGTGGCTGCGATGGAAATAGAATTATCGGTAAAGAGTTTCGCTGACGCCCTCCGGGCAATACCGGTTTTCTGCAGGCAAGGTTTGCGTGATCTTTAAAATTTATTGTCCATTACTGGTGAGAAACTGTGGAATCGTTATTCTCACAGCGATGCCATTTCGATGGAACATTTAATCGTATAACAAATTGACACTTTTCTCGTCCGAATTAGATCTACGATTTTCTGTGTGTGAGTATGTGTATGTATCTGGCTTTCGATGTTCCGTCCCAATTAATTTTATCCGACGAAAATGGAACGATATACAGATTAACACACTTCCGTTGCTCAAAGTTTGCACAAAAGTCTATTTATTGGCGATATCAGTTAACGGTGAGAACACTCATAAATAAGGCAAATTCAGGCATTTAAATGAAACATGGTTTAAAATATTAACTCTTTTATTTCACATTTCGTTTTATTTCCCTTCTTCGTGAAAGAAAATCGCGATAATCACAGAAAACGAAGTTTATACAATATTACAATTTTTAATATTTATCTGTATTTATGAAAAATATATTAAGAGATTTAAATTCATATGCGTCGAATTGGATGTCATACGTTAATTTTATCGAGAATCGTGCATATAAAGACGATTTTACCAGCGAATTCTCAAGTTATTTGATCGTACATATCTATCAGTGTGTTTATTTTTCTATTGTCATTCAAATGTTATACCTATCTACTCGATTGATCGGCGAAGGTCGGCGACTTTCTCGGAGATAATAATAAGATTATAGACGAGAACCCTTCCGGTGCTGTCAATAAAAGTCGATCGATGGTAAAACTTTACTCTGCCAATTATATATAATATTACCTGCTTTATCTGCATTAATTAAATGAAATACGTTTCCCGGTTTTTTAAATTTATTTCTTTGGCAGATTTAGATTGATAATTTTGATTTGCAATACGCTCAATGTTTTATAAATCATTTCAATAATAAAATGTCTCTTGTCTCGTATATTATATGGAAGTTCCTCCGAAATTCACTGATGTGTAACATGTAATTTAAATTAAAGATGTAATGTAGTCTGTCAGTTCATTTTGTATTTTTTCTAAAAAATATTCTCATCATTTTACAAAAAATATATCTGAGGGTATAACCAGTTTCTTTTTTAATTTTTAAAAAAATATTCTCATCATTTTACTACAAAAAATATATCTTAGAGTATAACTAGTTTTTTTTTTTTTAAATTATGTAGGATATGGATAGAGAAAAAGAGTTATAGTAAATAGAATTAATTAAAGTATAAAATATCGTTGGAATTTATATTATTCCGCTTTTGAAGATAAGAATAGAGAGAATGGCAGAGCGTAATATATATATTCGGCATTAACGGATTGATTATCGGTTTCTTCTTCCGCTTTTGTGACGAGGAAAAGTAACCCCGACGTCGTTGCGGACCGCGTCAGCAACGGAGCTCCCGCGATGGAGCTTTACTACTTATCCCAAAACTAATTTCGAGCTGTGTGAGAAACGATTATCGGATATAGTTCGAAGTTCGGCCAAAGAACATCCTGTATCTTTAACGACGTTGACGTGACTAGAGTCTGGAGTATGAGCCGCCGCCGTCGCATATCTCTTTCAAACGAATTTCCTGCTTCGCTAACGATAAGCGCGCATGTACGGCTGCGTGTTTAATCTTTCATTAGTGAAAATATACGCCGCGGGCGCACGCGCGCGTTTGTACGACACCCGCAATGTAAATCACCCTCGGTCTTGTCTCTCTCTCTCTCTCTCTCTCGATCTCTCTGTTTCTCGGTGCAGCTTCCGGTTTTAATCTGCGCGCGCGCGAGAGAGAGAGAGAGAGAGCATGGATTTTCGTCTCTCTCTCTCTCTCTCTCTCTCTCTCGATCTCTCTGTTTCTCAGTGCAGCTTCCGGTTTTAATCTGCGCGCGCGTGCGCGAGAGAGAGAGAGAGAGAGCATGGATTTTCAACGAATCCCGCGATATGTGTACGTCCGCTTTGTTCCACATATATATAATCCTTGTTTGCACGGACCAATTACCGGATTATAAAAAATTTATCGAATCGACATTGTAACGAGCCAATAACTTCGCATCCCTTTAATCCGAGAAAGAAATGTGACCGGCGATAAAAACGCTTTAATTAAATCCGACCGATTGTCTAGTATATCGGTGCATCGCTCATAATAAATTAGAACGCGGCGGGTCGTGCCAGCTTTTGAAACTTTGCCTCGGAGATAACGAACAGCCTCGTCTACTACTTGTGACTCTCCCCATCTCTTCGTATATTTTTAAAGCATTCGAGGGAATTGAAAAGATTATTCCGCGCAATAAGTGTGCTCTAATATCGTGTTCGTAGTACGCTTTGAATGAACGGAAGCAGAAATCCTAGCACAATTAAATCTCATTAATTCTTCGACAATACCACAATATCGAGTTACCCGGGCAGGTGAGCGATGAAAAATTGATTGAAAATCTTGGCTACGATTCATCCCCCGGAAGATATGAGCTATTGTGCCCTCTGTATGAGCTCTATCGGAAATCGGAACATCAATATTAAATAGCTCGTTAATTGTGGCCGTGGACGATAACGAAGCAAACTCTGGAGAACCAATCAAATTTAATGACCTAATATATATTGCCAGCAGAGATTAGTGCGTCGCTTCTACTTGTTGTATTGATTTTAAACAAAAATTATAAACTATTGATTAAAAATTAAGAAAACATCATATGGATTTCACACATATACAAGATTTCTATATAGTCATATAAAAATACAAACATTATGTATATTTTATTTATTATATTTATATATTTAAATACTTTTATATTTAACAACTGTGCGCAATTTAATCAATAATTTTAGAATTTAAGAAATAATCGAAAATAAATAAAATTACCCTAGGAAAGCTTCAGGATATTTTAATAGAAGAAAGGAAACCGTTTAAATTAAGTCAACCTTTACGTGAGATATGTTGACATGACAAATAGAATTTCTCATTGTTAGTGAAAAGTCCAAATAATCTTGTTCGTTTCGTTAAGTTCGTTAAAATATGCCACGGTAGGGTAGATGCTGTGCGCCATCATTACCCTTATTTTTCATCGTACTTTATCCTCATTACCCTTCTTTCTCTCCCTTTTTTTGTGGTATAAGTTATGGTTGTTAGAATTATGGATGCGTACGAAGTACAAAATGTATTTGCGAAAAATACATCTGCAGAAGGATCGCTCTGAAATTGTTGCAAATGAATGATATTACGGAATACGTTTGTGCTTCGCATTTACTATCAAAGATAATCTTTTATTAAAAATAATCTCTCTCTCTTGCCAATATCATAAAAATTTTAAACTTTCAAAAGTTTGCATTATGTATATTCGTGAGAGGTAAGCGTACTTTTGGAATAGTTATACTGCTGATGATCAATCTAAAATTAAAATTAAAATGGAAGAAAGAGAAAGATTGCTTTTGTTCTTTGGTATTTTCTTTGATTAATAGATGTTCGCTGATTCCAATGAAAATTTCAATGTAAACGTGAGCTCTTTTCTGACAATTTAGATTCCATTGTATCGTCCAATCATCCGAGAATAAAATATACGAGAATATTATTAAAGCTTTTTAAGAACGGGTCTTTAAACGGCTTTGCAATCTTTTCTTTCGCAGTTGAATACGGAATGGGCTCAAGTTGAAGTGATAAACCTCATCAACGATGGCAGCGGTCTTGGATTCGGTATTATCGGCGGACGTAGCACCGGCGTCGTCGTCAAAACCATTCTTCCAGGAGGTGTTGCCGATCGCGTAAGCAAATCAAAAATTAATATCTTTTGTCCGAAGCATTCAAATTTTCGAGAAACTAAATAATCTCGTAAATTTCTTTTTTCGTGACACATGATAAAATAATTTTTTACGCATCTAAGACAATCAGTATTAATTAGAATATATCATGATCTTGACATAATTTTTTTCTTATCATGGACTTAGCTCTTAACAAGTAAATTCCTTCATTAATCACGGGCTTAACTTTTGATAAGTTGCTCACTTAATCATACGACGTCGCGTGCATCTTGTATCCTTCCCACGCTTTCTTTCCTCTCTCGTACTAAATTTCTCACGCTACATTTATTCAAGTTCGTAATGCATGCGTAACGCGAATATAAATCTATGGATTTAATTTTTACATGAGATGAACGTGTATCCCGAGGCGCTCAGAAACAAACGAGGAAATGAGAAGCGCGGGGCGAGCGAAATCCGGAACATCAATGTTTGCCCTCCGAGTAACAGTTGCGGAAATTAAATCGATACTTCTTGCATTGTGTGTTTGCAGGATAATCGGCTCCAGAGCGGGGATCACATATTGCAGATCGGCGATGTCAATCTCCGCGGGATGGGAAGCGAACAAGTTGCCGCGGTTTTACGACAATCGGGCACTCACGTGCGGCTTGTTGTCGCACGACCTGTGGAGCCAACTTCCCCGGATTATCAGGTACTTTTACACAATCTCTTTCTATCTTTCTCTATCTTTCCCTCTCTCTCTTTTTCGTGTTCGGAATCACGACTAATTATCAGCGATATCGACTGGTCTTTTATTTGCTCCAAGCGCCTACGGCGTTGATTGTAAGTAGCTTCAATTATCAGTCGACTATATTATCGTTAATGAGCTCTCTTGCTTTTTTTTTTTTTTTGAACGACTCAGAAGCTTGGAGATAATCAGATAAAATATAAAACATGAAATACTATGATTAAAATTAAATATATATTTTTTTTTAAATTAAAGCTCTAAGATTCATATTTATCATATTTATTTTATACTTAGTAATAGCGAATTTTGTTCGAAAAAAATAGAAATATGCTGATAAATTTGCAATGGCCTTTTAACAGATTGCATTATTTCTCCACAAGAATTGTGTAATCCTGCTCGCGCTGCGGAAGCGAAGATTTAAAGTAATTGTCAGTCAGCTCGCGCGAAACATTTCTGTAACTCTACGTATCTAAAGTAGTTGCATTAGAGGTGCGCAACGTAAACCATTAAATTCCGATACGGGTGTTCAAGATATTCGTCGTGTCCGGAGATTGATGGTACGGCGTGGTTCGCGTACGTCATTGTCAGGGTTCCGTTATACGCGTGTACTATCGCGAGTTAGGGGATCTAGTCGGAGTTCACGCACGAAATTGTGTTAAATTGCAAGCCATCACGACGATATATTACTAATTCGGCGATGGCTGAACGCCGATCAATATCGCGAGATTCGTGGCTAGGATCTCGCACATTTTGCGGAGAAGTGAGGAAGTCCGAGTAAATTTTTCGATCGCAATTTTCAACTCAATATATACTTTAAAAAGTCAAATCACCCTCTTTTGAAACTATTCAGCTTATAATTTTTTAGTCGAAAGCTTCTTTTTTAAACCTTTATATGGGAAACTGTTCACTTACTTCCCGATTCACTTACTTCCCGTTCCCGATTATTTGAGGTACAAGCTATAGTAGGAGCTCGATTTTTATATAAATTAAACCTCTATCGAAATCCTCTACAATGTATAAACGTGGAAAAATTGAGAAGTTAAAAATAGCAACAAAATTTCGACCCGGAAAAATGATGAAGCCGCGAGGGAAAATATATCGAAATTCCCGGAGTGGTTGCGTATCGTGAACACGGCGACTGAGAGAACAAGCTGTAATTCAGGGATAATAAATAATATCCCCGGATACTTCGTATATACGTGATGGTTCTATTATTCCAAAGCGTAACCGCCATCATCCCGAGATGGACGAACTCTCGGAATTTATCATATGCTCAGAGAATTACGGAAAATGGAAATTACTTTGCCGCCGCATATTAAAATTGAAAATCTGACTAAAGCAGGATTGAATTTATCTCTTTTGTAACAAATGAATCGTTACCGCATTTAGCATTTAACAAACGATAAACGACACGTGCGTTAGAGACAATGGCAAAACGCAAGGTCTAATAAATCAACTTTTGCACACGTCTATTTCCAATTACAATAATCGAATCATGTGCATTAAATGTGTGGGCATATTTGTGGAAACAGGATACTTTATTATTCATTCCTCCGACGAAAGCAAATAAAGGTGGAAAATGTAAAAGTGCACTCGACTTTTCTCGTTTCCAAAGTTAAAAAAAAAGCCCCAGAGTTGCCACGGTCTTTCAATTTTTATCGCACCTCTGATCGATATTTATATCCCGCACCGCGTATAATTCCGCCAGCCATTCTTCGCGCGAATATTAAACAGCCAGCGACCTGTCTGTTCTACTACCAGCTACGAAATACACACAAACGCTCTCCCGGTGAATTTTTTTAAAGGGTTGTAACAAGCCGTCCCCTGATACTTGTCGACTTGTAAATATCACTTGTTGAGGCCCCTGATAAAGTTCCCTCGTGGCCTGTCACGCTGGTGCGAAGTGAAGTGCGATAAAATTCGTATTCGCGTGAGATGATGCCCGACGTCTGTAAAAATAAAAAAAAAAAACGAGCATTGAAAATAAAGCATTAATGACGCACTTCGAATATGATTCTTTAATCTTCGATGGACCGAAAATTATCCCACAAATAACCAGAAAAGTTTTTTCTGTCTATATATGTATAACGGTAAATATTAATTAATTTATCTTTCGACGAGGGAGAGAGACTCGGCTTTAATTACGAAAATAGAGTAAAAATGAAAGTGCACTGCGCGCTTTGCAATTGTATACATGCTTAAAATACATAACGTTACTTATTATTTCATGGCACACAATCCCCGCTTTAATCTCTGCGAGAAAATTCTACAAGATTTACGGAAAAGCTAGCTATAGTTATGTTTTATTTACTGGAATGGATTGAAAATTTTCACGCGCTTGGGAGTTCAAAAGCCTGGAAAATACCCTTGTCGCGCACGATACAGGGATCGCATTTTAGATGTTGTATTTATTTTTATATAAATCCGTTCGGAGGAAGAAACGGAGAGAGAGAGAGAATCGAATGTGGCGTTGGGACGCATAAAATTTCTCGTTCCTGATATCTTTCCAGGCTCTCGGAAGTCACGCCCCGATCGTCCCTACGAAAATCCTGGGGGATCCGGACGAGTTGGACAGACATTTGGTGCACAGTGTACCGGAAAGCTACAATATGCGACATGTGCAGGGGGGTGACACGAGCTACGACAACGGTTACATGTACTCGCAGGAATCCGACATTGAAATGCACGTGAGTGTATTGCGCCAGAGAAACGGCGATCGTAATTTCGCGTTACGACTTTGCTTTCCCCTCCGCCTCTCCCTTTGTATGCCCTTCTTCTGGAAGAAATCGTATTTTCATCATCAGAAAGAATCGCGAAACGTAAAACAATTCATTGCCTCAGGCAAGACCCGGTCTCATCATGGACGTGGTACGCAACCCAATGCCAATTGGAGCGATGCCAGTTATACCGGCGGTGCCACTTCCGGTGCAGCTCCAAGATCTACCGGTGCTTACCATGGAGCCCCTCGATATTAATTCACTGCCAGAGATGGAGCGCTTCACGGTCAATCTTACGAAGGATATTTATGGCCTTGGCATCACTATCGCTGGATATGTTTGCGAAAAAGGTAATGGACGTTCGATATTCTTCTTTTACTCTGAGTGTTTTCGGCATTTTAAAAGAATACTAAAGTCTACATGTGTACATATATGGAATATATTTGAAGTATCCCAAAAGAGATAATCGCGCAATGGCGCCGTTGATACAATTAAATCGGATGATCAGATTCTCGCGACTCCGTAAATAAAGACTTTCCGTTTTTGCAGAGGAGCTCTCTGGCATTTTCGTTAAGAGCATTAGCGAGGGTAGCGCGGCTGACTTAAGCAAAATGATCCAAATAAACGATCGTATAGTGGAGGTGGACGGGCATTCCCTGCAGGGTTACACTAATCACGAGGCTGTCGAAGTGTTAAGGCGTACAGGGCAAACGGTGAACCTTTGCTTGGAGCGATATCTACGTGGACCAAAGTTCGAGCAGCTTCAGCAAGCGATCGCCGCGAGCGAGTTGAGACTACCTCAGCCGAGTTCCCCGTCGATTACGAGCCTACCTAGTTTTCCCATGAGCGCGGTACGTTTTCTTTCTTTATTCAACAGTTGGACGTACTTTAGTAAAGAATAGAATATAACTTTATATTAACTTAATGTTTGATCAATTTTATATATTTATTAAAAATTTTATATTTCAATTTTTCTCTTGAAAACTTGTGCGCTTGTTCCATGTAAATTTTGTAATTATAAAATTTAGAATCACGTTATATTCATTTGTATTGTGAAAATTATTAAATCTATATTTGCACTTTTTCTCAGGATGGAGAAACCACCACTGAAATAGAACCCGAAGGCGAATCTCATACCACCGTTGACAGCGCGATTCTGCAAGAAGGAGAACGTTTAAGAACATCAGACGAGCAGGACGAGGCAACCAATGTCGAAGCTTTGTTGAGCGATCCATCGAGCGAACTTACGCCTCAAATTCGTGCGGCTATTAAGGCGAAATGGCAAAAGATTGTCGGACCCGACACCGAGATAGTGGTAAGTATCTCGCGCAATTTCATCAGATCGAAGAGGATGAAGAGAAAGAAAGTCTTTTTCGTTTCTTTCTTTTTTCTTTTTCATTCGAATAGGTCGCTCAGCTGAAGAAATTCGCCGAAGGGAGCGGTCTCGGGATCAGTTTAGAGGGAACGGTCGACGTGGAGAATGGCCAGGAAGTAAGGCCTCATCACTATATACGTTCGATCTTGCCGGAGGGCCCCGTTGGGCAGAACGGCACACTGCGCTCTGGCGATGAGCTACTAGAGGTTATCGAATTTCCGTATCTTTTCTTAGAAAAGCTAACTCTATAGAGCGTTTTTCTTTCAAAGCGCTTGACAGAGAGCTTTCTCCCTCTTTCTCAAACTACGCGTCTGAAACCGATACCGTGCTCTTTTGAAGGTAAACGGCTACCGCTTATTGGGTATCAATCACATGGAAGTGGTTAGCGTGTTGAAAGAGTTACCTATACACGTTCGTATGGTTTGCGGAAGAAACATCGCCTCGCAGGATCCGCTTTGTCCCATCGACACCGCTCAACACCAAGCCGCTTTTCAGACTAGAGTAAGTATACACTGAGAGATTACGGCGTTGCGCGTTGTCAGTAGAGTTCTGCAAATCTAATTCACTATCCGATTTGTATCCACTCTAATTTGTGTGATATTTACCCGATTCACCCGAGACCTTACCCGTATTCGGGTTTCACCCAAGTGATCCAACATTATTTATTAACAACAATTGAATCCTCCCGATTTTATGTATTGTAATAGAAAATATTCTAATTTTAACAATACGTTTTTATTTTTTCTTTGTTTTATTTAAAAAATTTTTTGCACTTGTTCGATTTGAAAAGATGGGCTTGCTATTTGTTATCCTGCTCGCTATCCAAAAGAAGTTTTTATAAGCACTTTATTCATTGATTATATTCACTGACTGGGTGGGCGGATTTAGCAGTGATATCGTCAGAATGCCCGTGCAGAACTCTAGTTGTCAGTCGCCTTAAGTCGCGCTTTAAGAACCGCCGCGAAAACCTGTGTTGTCTCGTAGAGCATCCTTGGCGGGTCTCTGCAGAACTTGTTACCTACAATGGATCGTCTCGTGAAAGCGAAGTCGGACGGTTCCTTGGCCTCGACAACGACCACGGCCACAGTGACCGACGCGAGTCTAAACAAAATGAAATCGCGCTCGTTGGAACCGCTGACCGGTCTGGCAATGTGGAGTTCCGAGCCACAAATTATCGAATTGGTTAAAGGAGAGAGGGGCCTTGGGTTCTCCATTTTGGATTATCAGGTGTGAAATTTTTTTCCCGGAACTCTTCGCACAATTTCGATAGAGGAGAAATGAAGAGTTGTAATAATCATCGAATTTGTTTTCCTTTTCCGCTCGTCCTGGTTCTAGGATCCAATGAACCCCAACGAAACTGTGATAGTAATACGATCGCTCGTGCCCGGCGGGGTGGCACAGGTCGATGGGCAGTTAATACCGGGCGATCGGCTTCTGTTTGTGAACGACATCGGATTAGAGAACGCAACACTGGACCAGGCCGTGCAGGCCCTCAAAGGCGCCCCGAAAGGGACCGTTCGCATCGGCGTGGCCAAGCCGCTGCCAATACCAGATAGTATTGTCCAGGTGAGCGATCAGGACGATCGAATCGAGGCTACGAGAGATAGAGATGCCGTGGCGACCGTTTCCTCGATTGTAGATAGCCACAAACAGAGGCGGGAATATTTCCGCGAACGTAAGATTAACGTGACCGAACCGCCGCACATGGATTTGATCGAGGGCCTGAAGCATCAGCACAACCTCGTCAAGTCTGAGAGTTTTTAATTAGGTCGCTCTCTAATCAGGATAGTAGGCTCAAGGCTCTTGCCTCCGCTAAATTTCACCACGATTTGCGTGTCTTCGAGACGGCCGACATACGCGCAATCGAAATCATGCACACAATATCGAATTACCCTCGGTTCGGTTAATCATAGTCAATGTGTTCCCAATTATTAATATTTTCTCATAGATCAAATAGACGTGCGCACAAATCTGAATGCGTATTTCCTAACGAGATTCCGTCCATAAAAGTGAAATAATCGCTGCTACATTTCATGTATATATATACATACTAAATACGACATTATATACAAATGTTTTTGAGTATTGTCAAGTAATGAGCATGAAACATTATGTCCCGTCTTGTGTGTTGGAAATCACCAAAATTTATAAAATTATCATCTGTATATTATTATTATTATTATTTTTTTTTTTATTGCGCACATACATGTAAATTCGTTGTTTGATGAAATCGGCAGAGTGAACTTCAAAGGAAATAATTTGCATTGGCATGGCGTTAAAAGATACTTTACTAATATTTGCCATTTTTGTGCGATTGCTTCATAAGACACCAAAGCATAAATTTAACATATTTATGTGGAACAAATGTAAAATGTTGGGTCGTGTTGGAATTTTTAGCGCTATCGTAATTCACAGAAAGTTTACTTTGTAAGCCTGCATGACGTAGTTCGTTTATGTTAAGTCCATTGTTACCCCTCATATTTATATCATAATTATACTTTATAACAATTATTCTTGCGTTACTTTTTTAGATACTATTGTAAAAAATGGTATTTTTTTATATACGCAGTGACTGACTTTTTTTAGATTAAGTCCATACTATTTTTTGTAATAATTTTTTGCGGACTGCTGGTTTCGATACAGATTAAGTATATTATAGTTTATTTTTTTTTTTAATACGCTGTTGATATTCGTCGTGGAGATAATTTTATCCTGCCGAATTTTTTAAAGCGACACGTACATCAATATTCATACACCTATCTCAGTGCACCAGAACGCGTTTAACGTGCTTTGCATCCCAAACTATGTTAATCTATGTGTTTTAAGTTGATTACCTTTTATTGTGTTTCCCGCTACTATCATTAGGTTTTTATCTCGCGATCACGACACAACGCGAAAAGCGCCATTGTTTTGACAATCGCGTAAGACTGCAATTTGTTTATCACTATGCGATTGTCGGTAGCTATAATATCTCGCTAAAGCTCTTTCGCAAGTACCTCGTTCATATGTATTAATTTAGGAGATAGCGTATCTATTTGCGAAAGAAGCGAGATATGGATTAAATAGAAATTGAATAGAAATTGACACATCTTGATCGACGGATGAGTCAAATGCAATTTATACGTCGAATAAAATTTTACGATACGATGCATGTATATCAATAGAGTACCGTACATGTTGTTTTATTTCGTTTGTCATTATCCATTTGTCACCACCTTGTCCTTCATTCATTTCGGTTCTTTATATATGTATTCGTCAATTTCCCTGTATTCGTCATCTGTGCTTGTTTCGTCGTTAATTTAACCGTTTGTTTTTTATTTCAGCTCGTTTACGCGTAGCACATCATTTTTAATATATATACTTTAACATTAATATATTTATATATATATATATACACACGCGTATATACTTATATACCTATATGGTTTTTTTATGCCGTGTTTTCGTACCGTTGCAAGCGGAACATCCATAAAACAGCCGAATAAAAACGGCGAAGCCTGATATTTTACGAGCAGGCCGTCCTCGGCGATATTCCGAGGCACGGTCAAACGTTTGAATGATTTATGCGATACCTTTGGATGAGATATACCAATCGACCAGCGTATCTTTGACGAGCAAACCTTTTCTCGCTTGGTTTCGTTCGACTCCTGGCATAGGGGATCACGCGCATCTCCCTTGAGATGCGCTCCAATTTAAGCAGGGAGAGAAAGCTCGTCTCTTGTGCGGAGAAAATAAAGTCGAGGGGGAGATCCAATTTTGGAAATCCCTTCGCGCGTGATTCGTTCATTCCGGATTGTGGAGCAGGACATTTGAATTGTGTTAAAGTGTGTTAAAGTGACAAGAGTTGCGATAACGCAATACGCGTTTCGTATTTTATATACTTGAGATACGCGAAGAGAACATTTGACGTTTGATAAAAATTAAAAAAAGAAAAAGATATATTTTATTAAAGAGTTACAATTTTATAAGAAATGCATTACCTTTTTTAGGTTTTAGAATTTAAAATTACGTATATCTTGAAATGTGTAATTGTCTCTATAATCTCTTTCAATGTAAGAAACCAGTTGAATGGTCTAAAAAAAGCGCGACACACATACATTAATATTTCTTTTATATTATACAGACAGTGATAAACGATTCAGTCAGTATAATTGATAATCCCATGCTCTGCTTCTGTACAAAGTAATTGAGTCGTGATAGCTGATGAGTTTTCGATAGGTATCGTATCTTTATACGGTGAAAGACTCGGGAGGAAAGAGAACAGGAAAAAGAGAAAGAAAGGTCAGACATTTGGCAAACGTGAGAAGTATACAAATGTATATCTCCGTTTCGGCGTTGCATCGTCAGCGCCAGAAAAGGAATGGAGAACGATAAAGATACGAGACAGGGAGAGAGAAAGAGATGAGAGAGACGGTGCGAAAGAGAGATTTTCGGTAATAGCGCTCGGTGTTTACCCCCGCGGATGGGTTTATATTGCCGATCATCAAACTAAGTAAGTACAGAACAAAACGATTGTAATAGTGAATGAAAGTTGCCTGGTAGAGAGTAGCTGAACAAAACAACTTTATTGCATACGACTGACTTCTCTCACATATTTCCAAATTCTTTCGAACTCACGAACACACACAATCGTACTAGTGATCTTTGTTTAGCAAACTGCAAATTCGTTTTGAAAGAATTTTTTTTTGCATATATATTAGATTATATTTGCCATTTGTCTCTTTGCAGTCGGGCGAGTATGAGAGAATGAGAGAAAAAGAAGTGTGATAACGCGCGAAAGAGCGAAAGATATATATTTAGAGAAAATAGCTTTTCCCTCTAAAATAAAATATACAAATGCAGAGAGAAAAGAGATGATATCAGAGATAAACGAATAGGAAATGCGAACGTGAAATATGAATGCGAGTGTGAAAGAGTGAGTGAAGAATGTTGAAATTAAAGAAAGGAAGAGACAAGTGGCGGAGAGTGAACGAGAGAAATTGAGATAAAAAAAATTCGAGTATGAAAGAGAAAAAGCATGCGAGACAGAGAGAATGACTCAAGCCAGCGGCAAAGTGACTCGGGGGTGAGAGAATATAACAAAAAAAGAAAAAGAAAAAAAAACAAAAAAAAGGGAAAAGAAATCGAGAAAGAACATATAACGAGGCAAGTAAAAGAATCAAGTTGAATGATATCTCTTAATATTATTTTTTTTTTTGTTTCTTTCTTCTTCCGATTGTGTCGCCTTTTCCTTTTGATGTCTTCACAAACAATTTTTAATCGAACTCTCCAAACAAGCTCGTATTGAACTTTTCGCCTTTTTGTAGAGCTCTACTACCATTCCACTACTGTCTACTCACTGGCACCTTTCTTCACTATTATCAAGAGGCTCGTGTGGGGATCGATACGTACGTTTACTACTTACTCGCAACCTGTTTATACCTGAACTCTTCCGACCGCCTTCCCGATACTCGAACGGATGGTACATAATCCTCGATGTGGTAGCCGCTGGGATATCCGAGCCGCAAGTTACGTAATAAATCGATTCTCCTCCAGGCTTTCTTTTTTCTTCACCGCTTAGAACGTGAAGCTCTTATCTTATTATCTTTGAAAACCGCGTCTCGAAGGCACGCGAAAGTCACGATTATTATTTCTATTATGTCGTTATTATTTTTATATGATTATATTTTATCGTTTTATTATTGTTATTATTTTCCTTTATTATTATTATTATTATTATTATTGTTATTATTATTACTCGATTACGCTTTAGGGAAATGCTTACGCGTTTTTCTTTCTTTTTTTTTTTTTTTCCTCAAAACCATGTGTCACTTGTGAGTGCAGTGCGATCCCAGGGCACGTAGTAGTACCCTACCCTACCCTATTACGCGCGAGTTGGTTACGAGTGTTACGAGTAACGTGCGGCGCGCCGTTTCCAACGTTCTTTTTATTATTACTATTATTATTATTATTATTATTATTATTGTTATTATTATTATTATTATTATTACTATTGTTTCGATGTGCCGCTGTTGTTATCGTTGTTACTCTATTCCTTTCCTCACTGTGTGCGTAGTGTCTGTTGCAAGCTTTATTTGCGCAGCTGCATAAAATGTTAACGCGAGATCTTCGCACATACGCCTAACAATAATCCGTAAAAGTTCTTCCGCTGGCGCAAATGCTAAATGCAATCTTAGACTTCCGGGATGCACGATCCAAATTTCTCCTTCGGTCCTTTCGTCCATTCTCGTTTGGATCAGATAGTCAAGTTTGATAGCTACTCTTGCAAGACAAAGTAACCTTCTAGATTCTAGAGCTACTTAACGTGTTGCAGCATGCTCGCAGTTTCATGTGCTTCAGCAAGCTAAATATTAAATGTAATTTAGTTTTCTCTAATAAATTCATACATACACACAAGTCCATATGTTGAAATAAATGTTAAGCGATTATAGTTTAAAATTGATAAATTATTTGAGACATTTGCTGAAAATATCCTACGAAGCTTTCTATCAATTTGTTATTGCGTCTCTCGAGAACAGAGAGATTATACATTCCCGTTCTTCGTCATGCGACAAATACAACGTAATCCCATTGTAAATATAGCGTGAAAATTTTTCATCATAAATTTTTTGTGGCTCAACACGTTGACAACATAAAAAGTAAAAAATAAATATGAATAAAAATAATATGAAAAATAGCGATTAGAGACACTGAAAAATTTAATCCGAAATAACAAAAAAGAAATAGTTGCACGTTTGCAAAATTGGATAAATTATCAAAACATCGTTATTATTGGCTCATATTAACAGCCAATTATTACAAGAATGATTATGTACCTATATACATATAAGTTACAATTACAATAAAGCTTTTCGAGATCATACGCGAATCCTTTTCAAAGTTTGTTGATGTATTCTTAAAGAAAAACTGAGGGGGAGGGGGAAAGTTCGCGTAACTTTCACATGCTTCCTTGTCACAGATGATGACGAAAGTTCACAGTTTACGAATATACAATTCTCTACACGTTTATATGGCAGTAGCATATGGCAGTACGACGATTATTACGTAAGTCGCGCTTGTTCTTATCGAAGCACCTGCGCCAGGTGTATCTGTCATAACTTCGCTCTATCATAATTTCTTTGCCCGCGTATCTCTCTTTCGCGCTATTATTCTTATTACTGCAAGATATAAGTTTTGCCTCTCCATATATTCTTCGGTGCTATCATCCGACTGTTGCCTGTAATAGATGCACATTTTGCAAACTCGAGTCGTTCGCTGGGAAAACGAGGTTCAGTTTAACTTCGAGATTTATTATACGAATATTTTTCTCACAAAACGTGAACTTTCGCAAAAGTTAGATAAATTGGTCCATGTTTGTCAGTGGTAGACATTTTATGATATTTTCTGAAAAGAAGGTGATGGTTATCGTGTAACGTTATTGAGATGGTTAGATATGCACATCGCTTATAATTTTTAATTTTATATTTATATGTGATATATAAAAATATGTGAAACAAAAATTTGTTATACTTTTTGACATAGTAATTGAATGCACTGGAATTAGATTTTCTTTTTCCACATGTATATATATATATATAATTTCTCTATGTAATTTTTATGTAAGACTTTTTATGTAAAATACCAAGAAATACACATGGCATAATCTTTGCATTCTCGCCACTTATACATTTTGTATTACATGAATGTAAACTTGTCCTCTCTATTCCCATCGTGCGTTTCGTGTGACACATTAAGCGCACGTAAAATTAAATCTGTTCTTTTTAGAAACGTTTTCTCTCTGACAACATTCTGTTCCTCGTCTTTCCGAGATATAAGCATTCTTTTCGCTTTACATATATAGAATGAGAATACGAAAAAGATGCAACTGAAAAGAACAGAGACGTAATCACACATTAGCGCGCTTCATAGAATTTAGCGAGAATGCCGCGTGATAAAAATCTATTGTCGAAAGTACCGTAAGTCATACGTCAATGTCCACACATATACACGCGTCTCTCTAATCTCGATATTTCTGTTTTTATTTTTCAGAGCGAGGCATAAGCGCCGAGGCGGATGCACATTTCCGATGCGAGTTATACGTTTACCGCAGTTACCGACCAAAAAACCAAAACAGAATTAGAAAATAAAAGTTACCATGATCAAGCACTATGTCCTCGTTTATGCCCATTTAATAATAATATTGATATTCAACAAAAAGAGAGGGAGAATAAGGAGCGACACTCGATGTAATTTCACGCGGATGATTGAAAGAAAAAGAAACGAAATCGAATTGTCCCGTCCTCTCATTCTTTTATCCAAGATTTTTCCCCTTTTTGCCAATCTCCTGAGAGCTTAATGATTAATATATCATGATTAAAAAAAATATAACATGATTAACATGATCGACATTCAATCGACATGTTTTTTTGATTTTTATGTCAATGAAATATTTACTTGTATATATACAAAGACGTTAATACATATGAAATATCACCACATACAAATATTATCCAAATAATTTTTATAGTATTTTATGTCTGATTCTCAAAAGATATCGTTTAACGAAATTACTATCTTATGATGATAACGTCATTAATGTTATTTATTATAGAAACTTTAATTAATTCCATTTTTGTGCAAAGTATAATCTAACATCTAGAATAAATCTACGTATAAATATTTGATATAAATAATTCCGTTGTTTGAAATGTCGATGAGAATTAGAATCAGTTCATTTACTTGTTGGATAATTTTGTTGTTGCATTTTAGCAACACTTTATTATTTTCATAAGGACTATATAAGGCTGTGTTAAAATAATATGGATGTTCCGTAACGCAACTGGTACTCAGCACGAATCCGTCATTGTTAGCGACACTGTCGCAAACTGCATGAAAGAGTTGGATGAAAATCTCACGAGATAGATATATCAAGTTCTATATTACATAGGTAAGTCTGCAATTCTCTCCAATCGGTAATTCTCTCCAATAGGTTGCTTGCATAAAAAATATAACATGATTAACATGATCGACATTCAATCGACATGTTTTTTTGATTTTTATGTCAATGAAATATTTACTTGTTAGATAAGGAATTCCTATATACATCTCACTAAATTTCAAACATGGTTTTAAACAATTTTGACGATTTTATAATCTTTTTTCTCGGCCTTGTGTGTCATTCTCGATGTATTTGAAAATCACGATCGTTATAAAAAATTGTATCATTAACTTTGTTACATTTTATCAGAAATATAGAAATGTATACTGAAAGGAGCGTGATATATATATATATATATTACTTGTTGGATAATTTTGTTGTTGCATTTTAGCAACACTTTATTATTTTCATAAGGACTATATAAGGCTGTGTTAAAATAATATGGATGTTCCGTAACGCAACTGGTACTCAGCACGAATCCGTCATTGTTAGCGACACTGTCGCAAACTGCATGAAAGAGTTGGATGAAAATCTCACGAGATAGATATATCAAGTTCTATATTACATAGGTAAGTCTGCAATTCTCTCCAATCGGTAATTCTCTCCAATAGGTTGCTTGCATAAAAACGCATATTATTTTTATCGTAATGTTAATTACTATATTTTATATATTAATGATTGATAAGAGTAAAAATACTCTTATCGTTATGCGTCTCGAAGAAATCGATCATTTTCCAGGCAAGACTTCTATGCAAGCGTGACGAACTGTATGACAAATTCTGTCTCTTGATTTATAAACGCTTGTGCAAGACGATTCTTATCTCAAAGCCTTTCCATCATTTTATTCGCGTGATTGGATAATAATTTCTTCATCACTTGAGCGAATTAATCGTCACTTGCTGATCGAATTACTTGATTGCCTTGAGCAGAAACGAAGCGGGTGGCAAAGATGTTACGTAGCAATTAAAATTGAGAAATTGAAATTCACTTTTTCTACGAACGGGAATCTTTAAGGATATAATGTTAGCATTTATTTGAAAACATACAATTATATTTTATCTTGTTTTATATATGTAATTTCTGTTCTGTTACAATAACCTGCTGTAGAATGGTATCTTCTTATGAATAGTACTTTTTTTATTTGGTATTTGGTCAATAAACAAAAATCGAGACGAGATATATATTTTAAAACAGATAGAACTAATACTTTATAAAGTTTGTGATAATTTTCGACTTTTTATTTGTATATAAATTTTATATGAATATTTACGATGTTGCGACAGAACAATCTCGCAACATATTAAAATTAGCTTCTTATCGATACGATCAAATTATCTTACTGCCTGACGATGCTTATTTTCGATCTAATTTAGTTAACTGCACGTACAAATAGAAGTGCAGTAAATCGTATCTTGTGATTCCAGCTAAGCCTTTTTCCAATGCCGCTTGTAATTGTTTAATCGATACTTCGTTCCCGATATTGACAACGAGTTATTTTGATATCTACTTTGTTATCCTCGATGTTAGCTGGATTGCGTTCTTAAATCTCTCTACGTATATTTAATAAATTGTTTCTTCTCGTCATTATAGAGCGGACGGTTATACGATGAAGGGTTGCATCGTCGATGTTCGCGGACTTCTAGACCTAGACAATCCTATTTGTATGAAACTATTTCCTTAACTGGATTATCGGTAACGAAGAGATTACGAAGCAAACGTATTGCTAAGTAACGCTTATATAGATATATACGCGCGGCGACTTTTCTTATTTTTCCTCCAGACAACTGAGTTCGGATAACGCGATGTGCGCAGAATTCGCACGATTATTGATTCTCGCAATGACTTGTCATGTTATTTGCATTTGTATTTGTTACAGTACATCTCTCTCTTTGCAACGCATTTAAATCCGAGCACGTGATATGCTTATTACCAAAATAATTTCATATAGATCAAAATTTGCGGATGCATATATATGTACATAGAGAGTGAGAGAAAGACAGAAAGAGAGAGAAAAGAGAGAGAGAGAGATTTCATTAACATATTAATGCAGTTTGAACGTGTAGAAATAAAATTATGCTGTTTCAATATCAATTACGGTTATATCAATTGAAATCTTATATCATATGTATTATCGCAACTAGATATATATTTGCATAAATCCTTATAATCCTTATCAGACAAATATGTGTACTTGTATAAAAATATTAGAATCACACAATCTATCGAACTGTGAATAAAAGATATATCAACTCTCGCACTATCTCAATTATAATCGCGCTTTGGTCGATCTGAAGAAATTGTAAATTCTTTTTTAAGTATTTGTAAGCTAGTTCTTCCATCAAACGTAGAAATTAATGCAAAATCGTAGAATTGATAATTTATATCAATTGTTTAACTCCTGTCTCTTTTGTTCATTTTCTACGCTACTCATTTCTATATCAGAAGGCGACACCGAAGATGAAACGGAGCAAAAGTTTTCCCAATGAGTGCGAGACGACCGACCGCGTAGCAGAGCTTGAGGACCTGCTTTCCTCGAGATCAGGTACATCTTGATTTAATGAATTTTAAAAAATGCTTTGTGCGAAGCGAAAATTCGAATTAATTATAACAAAGCTGATAAAAATTTAAAACATCTGCACAATAATTAATATTTTCTTGTGACATTAAGTTTATAATTAAGAGTTTTAGCGAAATCGATAAAAGGCAATCTGTATAATGAGCATGCAATTATATTTGCAAATGTAATTATATTAAGTTATCTATGTTATTCTAACAATCGATCACACTATTTTACAATACTACAGTGTGAGCTCGTATATTTATTATCGATCGCGGCAATGTTGTATTGTTTCAAAAAGAGAGAAAGATAAAGTCATATAAATTACACTCCATTCAATAACGAGTACATTCCCGAGTATATGTTTCGAGACAGTTTCGGATATTGCTATTGTCCTGGAACGAGGATACGTCGCGCCTTGTTTCGCGAGACACTATGATGTGATTTCCATACGAGCCACCCTTCCTTTCTCTGACAGTAACGAGATCTCCTTCCATGCTGTGCATGAAAATACATTGTACCGTGGCAATTTGCCATTACCATTTAAGTCTGATATACGAAACCATTAATTTTGATCTTGCAATTAGATGAACTTCCTTTAGAGGTGCCATACAAAAGCGCACTGCGCTTTAATACATTGCGTGGTAACATGCGATATCTTTCCGCGCGCAAACTCTCTCCCTATCTGAATAGTAAATTTATGCGGAATGACTTATCCTCGTCGACGATAAAGATCGAGAAATTTCTCAAAGACGATTAATCGGAAGATTCGCGTAACTTAGATTATCACACAAGTGCATCAATAAAAATTCTGTCGAGTGTGTTAAAAAAATATATTGCTACAATCGATATTCATGAAGATTATTCGTCGGTTATAGGTTTGACTGAAACATCAACAAACAAACCGGAGGTCGACGAAGACGAGGAGGAAGAGGAGGACCACTGGAAGGATGCTTCCCCAGTGACGCCGATTTGTAGTCCGGCACGGCCACCCCCCTTAGGAAAGCTTCGTCATCGGGACAAACAATCACCGACTAGATACGTCGACATCGATAACGATGTCGAAATCATTCACGAGTTCTATCCCACCACATCCAAAACGATGCACGAAGAGACAAGCATCGTGTCATATGGTGGCACGATAATCGTGGAAACGACGAGGATACCGAGACACATCAAAGACGTAGCACCAAGAATGGAGAAGGTAGCGCCGAAGGTGAAATTAAAGAAACAATCGTCTCTGGAGTTAGAATCGTCCCGCGTACCTCCTGTTCAGGAGGAACCGCTTTCCAGCGCAGAGAAAGCGTCCAGGATCACCGCGACTACAAGATCTCAGCGAGAAGTAGACGAGGAACGCAAGAAGACCTTGAAGCGTCATAGCAGCGTGGATTCCGAGGGACGTACGTCCACGTCGAAGGAGACGCTGGAGAAGTCGGACACGTCGTCGGAAAAGGGTGCTCGGAAAAAAGTATTCACGGAAAAAGAAGACGGTAGGAAGCGATCGAAAAAATCGGGAAGAAGATCTGTCAAAACCGAACAAAAATTGGAAGAAGATTCAGAGCGGAATTTGGAATCGCTAGAGAAGGAAGAGTTGAAGAAAAAGGACGGGGAGACTTATCGCCGATCGAGGGAAGAGAGAAAGAGCCTGAAGGAGGAGGAATGTATCGAGAGGGTGACAGAATTCTTAACGAGGCACAGTATACCGACTTATTCTGACATGAGCGTTAATCTCGAAACGATGGAAACCTCGGTTTCTGAAAACGTAGACGAGCAACGAGTCAAACGTCCATCAGTTATTAGCAAAGATGGGGAGACTGCGAGCCCCTCAACGACAGTCGAACCGTCCATCGTGTCTACAAAAAGAAAAGGGAGCCTGAAAAGTGTACCTGAAATGACGAAAGAGACGAAGGATTTTCTGGAGGACTCAAGAGTGAAGGACACTGAAGGATCTTTGGAGAGCAAGAAGCAGCGGTCAACCTTGGAACGTGCCTCGGCAGTCGTTTCGGACGTTCAACAAACTGAACCGGCCGTTCAAAAGCCTGTGAAACGACCCAGTTCGATGAGAAAAAGAAGAGACTCTTTTTCCAGAGAGTCCTCGAGAGAATCGTTGTTGGAAGAGAAGAAGGGTGTCAGGATTCAAGAAGACGTTCAGGAGATATTTTTCGAGGATATGAGTGAGCAAGTAAGTGAATCTTATCGTTTTCTAAATAAATTTGTTTCACTTTAGCTATTTTGATTTTGACAAGCAAGTAATTTTCGCTGGTTTTTTTTGTGCTAGGTCGATTTGTTGCCGGAAGTGCAGCTGGTGACCGCCAGAATCATCACTGCTGAAGAGGCATCCGCGCTTCGCTTCGAAGAGGCAGTTACAAGAATCGAGATTCATTCGCCGCCGGAAGTAGCCGTCGTTGCCGAAACAGTTAAAACGAAACTGACGCGGGCACCGTCACCGGAAATTGTCGACGTGTCTTCGTTGCAGCTACCCACATTGGCGAAATCGACTTCGGAGAGCACTTTAACGGAGAATAAGCCCGACGCCAACGAGGACCACAAGGTCTCCGTGAGAAACTTGAAACCGGAGATCCTTTGGGATTTGTCCAAGGTCTCCGATAACGGCGAGGAGATCGAAGAGACGGTCGAGGGCGACAGGGATATCAAGGAAAGGCGGCTCAGCAGAACCGGAAGCGAAGGCTCCAAGAGATTGATCAAGAGCCAAAAGCAGGAACAGTTCCCTTTCAAAATTAGCAGTCTCGCGCAGCCAGATAGACCGGAGCTGACGATTCTACACGAAGGTCCGATAGAGAAAGCGTCAAGTGTCGGAGATATTACGGGGAAGATCGCAACGGAAGACGCGGAAAAAGATGACAGTATTACGAGGTAAGAGTTTTCCTGGTTTTTTACAATAATTTCGCAGAGTCGGTAAACTTGTTCGCGATATTATACGCGCGCCCATATATAATTAAATATTATATATATATTTTTTTTCTTTTAATATAAAAGAAACTATCAGCTCTCTGATATTTTTCTTTCAATATAGGAATTTGCTTAATATTAATCATAAAAAAATTATCACGGATATAACATTAAAAATAAAAAATAGATAAACGATTCTGCTGGAGATACCGAGCAACATCTGGCTAATGATATGGAAAATTAGTTGTGATCTCGTCACGCGTTGCTGCTCATATAATTCTTTATCGTCGAGGAGAATATTTTGCACATTATACGAAAGTCAAAAAGAAAATCTCTCATCTTATTAAATGTTTAATGATTATATATCAAGAGGAAGTTTCGACGATTACGCGATTACGGAACGATGATCGATCGATGCCGCCGTGCAGCGCAGAAAGAAGCACAAACAATTTTGTTTGCAGTACCGCAAATGTGCACGGTCTGTCGATCGAATTATAAGTTCGAGCGGACGTCGTCGTCCGAAGGCTTCGAACGTCGATTTGCAAACAATATTGTTTACCTCCGTAGTTTGTCGCTCCCGATTAGGGTTGGATTACACGCATGGCCATAGAAACCCCGATGTGCTCTGTACAATTTACTGGAAATCTAGGTCGTCGTTAAAATACGTCGGGGAATACTTAGCGTACCGAAAATTCTGCCTCGCTGAAAAATTCATCATAATATGTCAGCACATGATTTTGGATCGATGTCGATGAATATCCGAGGCGCGAGAGAAGGATATCCGAAAAAATCATGCGTCATAGTTCAGCGATGAGAAACTATCCATTTTTCATTCATAACTTTTGCAAGATATATATTAACGAACAGAAATAGTAGAATCTCTCGATCATATATTCGAACATAAATTTCAGATTCGTCACAAAAACATTTAAAGCACATACAACTTGAAAAAAGCTGAATTATTTTAGACTTATATAAATGTAACTTACGCTCATGTTAATCGAATCGCTAAAAAATCTATTAAATAAGTTTGCATTTTAATCTATTTAAAAATTCTGCTTTTCAGTTAATTTAATAATATGCTCTCTGCACTCTGTTATTTCGAGAGAATTGAGTGTTTCATTTTTAATTAATCGAGGGATAAAACGCAACTGTAAAACAAAAATGTTTTCCCTTAAATCTCTGGGTTTCTGCTTTCCCTCTGCATTGCTCTTTTTTTAGAAACTTTTTCGCCGCCATTTATATTAACAGTGCTACAAGCTTCTTGCAAGATTGTGGGTGTTACACCCACGTAGAAAAGCACTTACTGCGGAGTGCTATTTTTTTTTATAGGGCGCTCGGATTCACATTGGAATTTCACGCAGCGCATGCGACGTTACAGTCCAAAGTACGATGCAATATTTATTTTTCCTTCGCATGCCTGAAATAGTACAGTAGTTTTTGCTGATCGAACAGATTCACCCATTTTGTCGTGCAGCAGATTTTTACATTTTGCAGCTACACTATAATTACTCTCTAATGGTGATATAATTAAATAATATAATTAATATAATTTGTTAAAAGCTATATTCATCCACATTAAAATATTACGCAATTTTATTGACATAATAAATATCCGATAAAAAGATTAATATTTAAATTGATTTATATGTCTATTATCGCACTGCTATGTTTGAGAAATAAGTATAATTTTAAATAATTGATGATGTGAATTGTGAAATAACAAAACAAAAGTTGAAAGAAATCGAGTCCTTCACGACAGACGAAGCCAACTCGTGTGTATGTGATACCGGGACGTAAAGTAGATACAGTCGTATAAGAAGAGAAATTTCTAAAGCTTAAGATAGATTGACATCAATGTTGGTGGACGACGGGAAAAGCAGAATAAGCGAAATATTAATATAAATAGTAGAAAAGAGCGTAAAGAAACCGATATGGCACAGCGAAGTGGAGACGGATAACCGGAATCAGCCAATGTCGAGCGCGAAGTGATAGAACACGCGACAGGAAGGCCAGAAGCACAGCAGAGGCGCAGATCGACGTAGTTATAAGATGCTGGAAAAGAGAGACGAATGAAGATTGTGATGTAACAAGCGGAGAGGAGTGAAAAAAGATGAATATGTGTACGTGCGTTTGCGTCGCGAGACGAAGAAGAACGACCTCGACTCGCGAGATGGAGAAAAACAGAGATAGACGCATGGATGCGATGCGTTTGGACAGAAAGCGCCCGGATATAATGTAGAAGCTGTGGGGCAGAAAAAGACGGCGCAAAAGCACAGCCTCTCCGAGACACGCAGGATTATGTGCTGGAAGAATAAAAATAGGAAGAGATAAAGGTGTTCTCGTTACAAAGAAGCAGAATTACGGAAGGAAAAAAAAGAGCGGAAACATGCGAGCGAAATAAAGATTCGCGGAATTGCCGATGGCCATAGAAAGATAAAGTTAAAGACGTAGAGAAGTCAAAGTAACAGAAAGAAGAGGGGAAGGACGGAAACTTTGGCAATTAAAAGGGGAACGTGATATAGCGAGAGCGGAGCGACTGGTTGTGCATACAGAAAGATAGATGCATAAAGAAAATTGACAGATAGTTTAGAGTCGTGTGGCGTAAACGAGTCACGTAAAATATACGGAAAATAGCGAGAATGTATGTATGAACGTACAAACAAAATCGCATATTTAAAATAATGGAAATTAAATCACATTATTTTTTTATCAATTGGTGAACAAACAAAAAATATTTTCCAGTTAATCTCATGTATGTTAACTTTTATAAAATTTTAACTTTGAACTTAATTACATCTTAAGACTTGTGATGTATTGAAAGTTAAAATTGCAAAAGTTTCTACTGCGAAAAAATGTGCGGTGAACTTTGACCTACAAAAGCATCGTTCAATTTTCGACGGAAAACATCGTCAAATATTGAGCCAGCGTAAAATCAGCGTGAATATATGAATGTTTGTATGAATATGAATGTTTGAATTTATATATATATTTATATATATATACAAACATGTTATTTTCCATCAGTTAACGGACAACTAGTGCCAATTGTATGACGTCATTTTTACTGGTCAATTAAGCTTTCCATCGACACTTTAATTACACTTCTGGCAGTAACAATAGCTCTAGATCTCATCCGTACCAATATTTAGAGAGTTTTGACGTTATTCTAATCTAACATTACTCAATATTATTTTCTGCATACGTAATAAAGACGCTGATATTTCTTACGTAAATCCCGGCAATTATCTGTTAGTTTAAATCTCATTAAATATTTTCTCGACGAGAAAATGTCAGAAGCAGAAGCTGATGGTAATTTCGAACCTATGGAGCAGCAATATTCGGTGCGAAAGGGATACGATTATGAGGAAAGATATCAGAG